TCCCTTAAAGGGACAGTTACCTCACGGTGACTCAGGCCCTGCTGTCTTTTCTTTTGTCATGCTCATGAAGTTGATGTTGACACACACAGCACAAAATGAGAGGTTGGTGTCTTCCTCCACTGATGTATTATTCTCTTATTGTCCCTCCAGGTCCATGTATGGTCAATGAAGTGTCGTGGAGAGCACCATGGAAGTGTTTTCAGTTGAACATCTGGGTGCGATGAGGTGAGTGACACTCAGCTTTAAAGGCCTCACCTGACTAGGTTGCCAATCATCATCTCAGTGCAGTTTAATAGTTTTAAGGAACCATAAGCAGAATTTGATTTAGTAAAACATATGTGCACTCAGGCCTTGTAGAGAAATTGTCTTTGCCTTTCAACTTTAGGGCCAGTAAAGCAATACAGTGATGTAGTTTTTATTGGCCAACCTGGAAGTTGGCATCACCTTGGTTCCCTCGACAAAAAGCCAATGGGATTTTTTTTAATAGGCTTTTCAGTCATCGCAGAAAATAAGATCTGTGACAAAACAGTTTGACACTTGCATGAACTGAACACAGCTTTTCTGATTTTTGAAGCCCAAATATAATTGCCAGAAGTAAAAAGCTATTGTTAGGCTATAAATGAACTACAGCACAGTCCCATAATGTCAACATCACACCACAGCTTCCAGCTTGTAATTATAGCGCTTTCCTCTTCTACAAAATACTTTCCTCTTAGTGTGACTAGATGTAGTAGTGATCATGTCTGTGTCGTTTGGTATGAATAATTAGCAAGTGCACAAGTTTAAATATAACTAGACTGTAAAAGGGGACCTCTGAGTAGACGAGTCTCAGTGATGACATGTAAAATCTCAGCCTCTGTAGTCTCATTTAGCCACTTGTTAGCAACCAACATGAAAAAGAATAAAAAATCACAAACGAGGTATTTACTGATGTATTTTATTTCATAGAGCAAACTGTGAAAATGTACTGGCTTTGTGTGAATCACAGGTGTTTAACCAAAAACCCAGTGACTTTTGGGTGAGGGAACCCAGAAGTGCAAAAATGCTAACTTGGTTCAGGGTTTTAGGACTCACTACTACAGCACTCTATTCTGAAATACTAATGATCATGATTTTTCTTTTCTCCATCAGTGGCGCCTGTAAGCACTGTGAGCTCCACTGACAAACAGGCACAGCTGTTCTCCATACCTGACATCCGCCTCAATCACCAGCCAGTCAAATGCTCCAGGACAATAAACTGGCCAATCATGGCAAGCAGGTCACCAGTGAAGGCCGATCCCAAATTCCAAGTGTAAATCAGCAGGCTCAACAGCAGCAGGGAGCTGCTGGCAACCTGGGTCCAAAGGGCACCGGAACCGGGAGCCATGGAGTCAAAACCAACCAGATTTCCCTTGCCAACCCTGCGCTGAAGGCTGTCAGCCAATCGGTGAGCACCGTAGGAGGGATGCTGAAAACCAAATCTAAGAGGGAGCGAAGTGTGTCTGTTGACTCTGGTGACTCAAGAAATGCCATTGCTTCAGCCCTGGAGACAGACGCCAAAGGAGGTAAGGCGTGCATGTGCAGAAGAAACTGTGTCAGCATCTGGGACATATAAACAATGTGCTTCTGTTCTAAGAATGTAGAAGTTCACTTCCTCTACCCTCTATCAGCCAAATCTTTACCCGAAATACCAGACTACGTGCATTCACCTCCTCCACAGCAGGAAGTGAATGTAAATGCCGAGAGTGACAGAAAAAACTTATTTTCTCTCTTGCTGAAATGCCCTGACCTTTCAATGAAGCATCAGAATTTCCCCCTGGCTTTTGATTGTTTGTGCCATGCCTGCACTGCAGTGATGTGTCTCAGATGAAAAAGCATCTGGGCCTTCAGCAGTGCTCAGAGGGAGAGACAGGTCATAAGGTTGTAAAAACTTAGTAAGCCCAGAGAGGTTGGTATTAAAGCAGGAGCCAGTGAGTGGGTGAAAAGACTTCCCTTTTTGTGAGTGTTTCTGTAAACATTTGTGTTCATGTGGTTCAGTACTGTTGCTTATTCAGGGGTTGATATGTTCACATGAGAGTTTGACATTAATGTGATTTTGTGAAACTCATCTGGGCTCCCTGTACATGACTTGAGTGTTGAAACGCACACATATATCCTTGTTTTTGTTCCTTAGCAGGTCTTTACATTAACTTAAATTCATTTTCTGCAGATATACCCTAATCATAAGGTAAGGTTGGTGATCCTGGAAAAACCAGCAAGAAGCAGCTCGATTTCAAAAGTAGACAACCGAAGAAATCCCACCCTTTCATTCTGACTTCTCTCCAAAGCCACTCCTCCAGTACACAAAACACACTGCAATGCCTGACTACAACTTAGATTTCAGGAAAATAAAACACAACTGCCTGCAACTGCAACCTCTAGTGGGAGACCTGCACACTGGGTGCACAGGCATTGAGTGCATGGGCAGAGAGCACACAAGCAGGAAGTAGGTTGACAGGCAGGTAGGCCATCCAATGGTTTTGCTTTGGACAAATAAAATTATTGGTCAGGCTTTTTTCAGCCCTGCTGCTGCTGCCACAGATGATGGATTTTTTTTTCTTTATGTTGTCAGTGGATTTAATGTGTCTACTGCCATTGGGATGAAAAGAGAATTTCAAGTTATGTAACAAAAATGCTTCTGAAAAGAATCACCAGCCCTGCCTTTAACCATAACCGCTACTTTCTAATTCCCAAACCTAACCTCAAACCAAGTTGTCACTGTAAAATTCATAGCATTTTGGTCCCCACAATGAGAATAATACTAGGCACACAAACACGCACCTTTACACACTCAGAGGGTGAGGTGTGGTTCCAACACAAAGAGCGACAGAGGGAGAGAATGAAAGGTAGGGTGGATCATTTGAAGGGAAATTTCTGCTGCCTCCATTTGACCTCCCCCCCTGTCTGCACACACACACTCCTGTCTCTCTCTGTGTCTCGTTCCCTGCGATTTAATTTCTGTGTTGGAAAAAGAAAAGTGCATTCAAATGGAAGGCAAGCCTCTTTTCTCTTTACTTCAGATCATTCCACCAACAAACCTGGAAACCTCTAGGGTTAGTGACAAATAGTCTGATCAAGGCAGCAGATGTGGTTCAGTAGCTGACTTTCTTATTAGGATAAACCAATAGCTGGTGGTAATAAAAACGGTCAAAACAAGAGGTCAGAGCTTTCATACTGTCTCCAGGAGTCGAGGTAGCAGTCCTCCCCCTGCTGTTCTTTTCTCTGTAGTGTCACTGCCACTTCCCTCACTCTGCATTCAGACTGTTAACAGTCTCTGGTTACCCAGGTTCATCTGATATGTGTAATTGTCAGGGTAGTTTTCTACCCCTGACTTCACTAATCAACCTAAAAAAGTCTTCACTGTTTTGTTTAAAGAGCTCTAAATATGTGACATTAATCAGGGATATTGCTGGAGTTTAAACCCACTGTTGTATTAGTAGTCAGAAGTCAATCCCACCATTTCTGATGCAGGTTACCTTGTGGAAGTGTTAAGACTGCTAAAGCTTGCAGCCGTTTCCACACACTGGTGCACAGCAGCTTGTGCATACATAAAGTCATTATTTCACCATATGAGAAGGCTCATCACACGCATAGCAAAAACACTGCAGTTGTGATTGGCATGCCTGACATATTGTTGTTTTAAAGAAAGTCAATACAGAGATGAATTTAACTGCTGTTTAATTTTTACTTTATACACCCACATATAACTTGTAACACATTTAATTCTGTTAGAAATTCAGGTTTGTATTTTCATATACATATACAGTGTATATATAAGTCAGCTCATTTTGTTTGTCAGCATTAACTGATATTTCACTTTCACAGGCGCAAAAAAACACATTTAGATGTGTGTCAGTGCTGTTTTCTGATGACGGTGCCAGAATGAATACACAAAGTCTGAGCATGTTTTCAGGTCACAACAGCTGGAACATGTCTGCAGATGATTCAGACGTGCATTTATAAGAACCTGTGTTTCCACAGTTTTTTACAAAATGACTTGAAGTGAAATATTGCATCTCCGGCTAACATAATCCCTATGTTTTCATAAATGACTTTCCATAAAGACCATTTAATGAAAATCCTGGCATTTACATTCTACTCAGATTTAAAGTGATAGGTTATTACAGCTATAAACTGGGATCCCATAACTTCAGTCAGGTAAGGCAAACACGTTGGAACAGTACATTAGCTTCTGGCTGCGGAAAATACAGTGGTGGGTTTAGATTGTCGGTGGTAAATGATAATGATAACATTTGTGTGTTTTCTAGAGGGTGTTATGCGCAGTAAACGGCGTTGTGTTCTGGAGAAGAAACAGCCATATAGTGGAGATGAGTGGTGCTCTGGGCCTGACACGGAGGAAGATGAAGACAAGCCACACACTACAGCTCACCGTGAGTCTGTCCACCACCAGAGATAAGAAAACACATTGCTAGTTGCTGTTGTCTGAATGCAGCACAGTCCTCACTGACAATAGTGTCATTGTGGCCACAGCAGTGAGGACTGCATGCAGTGCATGTAGAAATCCCCTGCCATGTCTCAGTTTTATTTCTCTGAAAACAACAGGTTAAAGCCATAAATTTATCTATTTCTGTTTTCAGAGCCTGCACACATACTGAAATGAAGATGTCAGCTGTGAAGGCTGTACTGCCATAGTCTCCCTTTCCACTGATTTGACTTGACATGTATTTTAGCTCCATCTAGTGTTTAGATGCCAAACAGATGGTGTTACAGTTATGAATCAGGTACTAGCCTACAAATGAAACAAGTGTGCTGCTGATGTTTCTCAGGGGAGCGTGGGCTGGCAGGCCCTGTCCAGGGGCTCTCTGATCGCCTGTCTGCAGGACCCATGTCTGAAACTGGTGGCCCTGTAATGGGATGTGTAGTGGGACCAGGGCTAAAGGCAGAGCTGCCCCAGCCTTCACAGCAAGTGGTGTATGTTTTCACCACCAAGCTAGCCAACAGGTGAGAATTATTTGCAGGCCAGATATGCAGGTGATAATTCACATCAGAAGTAGAGATGTCTAGGTTTTTATGTTTCCAACTAACCTCATTTGTTGTTGTTTTTTTATTAAATTGTTCAATTCAACACTTATTTATGATGCTTCAGTGATCATTTCATTTGTATTATTGCTCTATTTGTTTGACAGTGCTGCAGAGGCAGTAATGAAAGGACAGACTGATTCCATTCTTCTGTTTCACCAGCAAAATGTTCCACGCACCAAGCTGGAGCAGGTCAGACACTCATAGCTCAGTGACAAATTAAACAATATGTCAAATTTGTGCTAAACCACGGGGGAGTAAAAGTGTTTTCCGCAGTAAAGACCACAGGTGTGAGTCTGTGGGAAGGTTCATTTGTTTAGCTATTCTGATCTCTGTTACCTCTTTGTTCCTGTTTCTATTAACAATTGTTTTGACTGCCGTGAATACTTATTCTGTGAAAGTGCAGTACATTGTTCTGCCAAATATACTATATAACAATAACAATTACAAAAAATAACAATAATCTAATCATGTAATTTCAGTAGCAGTAATAGCATTTTAATAAGATGAACCTGTTTCTGTTTCTCCTTTTGTCTGTCACAGAGCCAGCCATCAGGGAAGCTTCCTAACCTATCTGACAAGGTAAACTCCAACACCTCTCCGCTAACAGGCACCCCTAAATCCCAGAGCGGAACTCCACGGCCAGCATCTGCAGGAGTTGGAGGCCCATTGCATCCTGCAGGGACACCGTCATCAGCAGGACACTCGGATAACGAATCCTCTCAGACCAGATCAGGCGGAGCCTCCAGCAATAATAGCAGTGTTGCCCATAGGTCAGAAGGAGGAACCACAGCCATGCCTGCAGGTCCAGTCATAGGAACTGGGGATGGGGAGAGTGCAGGGGGCATACCTCTTGCTGTTTCTTCCTCAGAGAGCCCCTCCATTCTTTCTGCACATCTACAGAGTGATACAGGACAGAGAAGTGGCCCAGGAAACACAGATGGTCTTTCCAAAGAGCAGCTGGAACACAGAGAGCGCTCTTTGCAGACGCTGAGAGATATAGAGAGACTGCTTCTGCGCAGTGGCGCAAATGCAGGCACAGGAGGCTCCAACAGCAATTCTACTAATAACTCATCCAACCTAAATAATAATAATACTGATAGATGTGGTATTGTTGAGGATGGTAACAGTGGTACTAATAATTCTGAAAATTGCGGTAGTGGTACTATGCTGGCATCAGCGTTGACTCCAATGGCAGTGATGAACAAATATGAAGAACCCCTCCAGTCCATCATGTCTCAAACACAGTGCCTTGGGGGGCCTGCACTTGACAGTCCTCAAATAGATTCTCACCATAACCTAACACAACACCCCCATCACCACCTGTCTTCACCTGGGGTTGACATGGGTCCCTTACTTGGACCAGAAGGTCTGACCCCAGAGCAAATGGCATGGAGGAAACTTCAAGAAGAATACTACCAAGAGAAGAGACGACAACAGGAAATGCAACCCTCCACACATCCCCAGCCCTTTAGAATGATGACAGAGATGGGCATGCATGGAGGTCCCATGATGATGAGAGGACCCCCTCCTCCCTACCACAGCAAACCTGGAGACCAGCAGTGGGGTCCTGGCAATGTGATTGGAGGAGGAATGGGTGGAAATGCACGAATGATAGACGTACACCAAGAGGGTCCCCGTGGCCCAAGGTTCCTGGGACAGATGCAGAGAGGGCCACCTGGAGGTGGGGGCTTTCCTGGAAGTCCAGGGAGAGTTTTATCAATGGAGAATCCAGTTCCCCAAAGGCCCACAAGGCCAGGAATGATCTGGTTAGATGATATGCCCAACAACATAGGTGTTGGAGGTCCTTTTCATGGCTGCTACCCTGGTGGATCTCCTCAGCACTTGCAAGGTGACCCAGAGCATACGTTAACACGTGAGGAAGTGTTTCGCATCATGGAGAAACGCCAGATGCATGGCCTTCCCAGATTTGAACTTGAGAGATTAGCTAAACAGCAGCAACAGGGTAACCTGTCCTCAAGAATTGTAGATAATCCTGGGGGCCTGGACTTTCCTAGTTTGGGAATAGGCCGGGGTCCCTCCACTCGAGGTGATCCTTTGGACTTTCCTGGATCACGGGAGATTATGGGTTCTCCTGCAGGGGGTCCTCAGATGAGAGACTTGATGGATTCTCCTCTGGGGAGCAACCTTACAATGAACATGAACCCACAGATGAATGTTCAGCAACAACAACAGATGTTGCTATCTCAGAAGCTCCGAGGAGGTTCTGCAGGAGGAGGGTCTATAGGTGAGATATATGGTCCAGGAGAGATTTCACGGATTAGGGCTTCACTGAACGGAAGAGGAGGAAATAAGGGAATAATCCCAGGAGCTGATGGCCCCTTTCAGTTTCCCAATCAAGGTCCCTTTTCTGGAGGACAGTTGGAAGGGCCCTATCTTCAAAAACCTGGTGCTGAGATGTTTGGGCCTGACCAGCAAGCCCCTAATCAAATGGGCAGTACACCACGGCTTAGTCACATGCCAGTGACTGGAGGCCTCAGGGGAGCAGACCTTGGTCCTAGGCACCCATCTGACGTGTCAATCAATGTTAACCCCCTGACTTCTCCTTCAGTGCCTCCACCTCATCAGCTCAAGTCACCATCACTCAACCAAGAGCCATCTCCTCTTCTGTCTTCTCCCTCTGCTCCGGGACTAAAGTCGCCTTCACAGATCTCCTCTATGGGGCACCACCCCACTCTTCCCCCAGCGTCTGGTGCTGGGACCCCTTCCTCTTCTTCCATGAAGTCTCCCCAGATAATGGGGTCTTCCAGCATTGGGCTGCACTCTCCAACTGCCTCTCCAGGGCGACTTAAGTCTCCTGCTATGACTGTGGGATCTCCAGGATGGATGTCTCCTAAAACAGCTCTTCCAAGTCCCGGTGGTCTAACCAGTGGGAAGCTAGTGGGCAATGGTAGTAGTTCCACTGAGACAGGTATGCTCAGCATCCAAGATGATCAGAATACACATCAGAAATCCCAGCATTGGCATCTCTGATGTCTAATCATCATTAATGCTGTTTCTGATATTGCAGTCACATTAATAATTTTTTATGTTCTTTTCAGGCCAATCACTTCCCCCCAGGAGTTCCAACTCTACCCCCATTAGCCAGCCAGGCTCTATGAATCCTAGTCTGCCATTTACTTCCTCTCCTGATGCACCTCCATCTCAGAATCCTCTATCTCTTATCATGTCACAGATGTCCAAGTATGCCATGCCCAGTTCTACTCCTCTCTACCATGATGCAATCAAAACAATTGCTACGTCCGATGATGAGATGCTGCTTGATCGACCTCTTCTGTCTGGTGTCAGCATTGGAGGTATGGAAATAAGGATACACTGTGATGCAGACAGAAAATTCATTATACAGTACATTTTGGCAGTATGCAGAGTAGAATGACCCTGGTTTATTGTGCCATTTGTAGATAATGTTGTACTATTGGTAACTGACTAAATAAATGATGGGTGTTCATTCTTTGTTGTTTTGCCTATTAAAACCTTCTGTCAGTCTAAACTCTCATTTTATACTAGCGCTGTTTAACAATGTGAATAGACCTCCAAAAGTCTAGTAAAAGGGATAATCTATTTTCAAATGTTAAAGATCTTTCACATGTTTGCTTGGTCTTTATCACCAGGAACCATGGGGAACCCCCAGACTTCTCAGATACTTGTTTCCCAGGGCTCCATTGGTCCTCACAGTGATCCACAAAGCCCCATGGGTATTGTCAGCCAAGGGCAGCAGCACTTGTCCCATGACGCCTCAGGACCTGTGCTTTCATCCCCAAACCAAATGGGCATGCCTGCCATCAATTCTGCCATGATGGGAGGAGGTGCACCTGATGGAATGGGGCCCTGCAATGTTTCACCCATATCTCAGAATCAGATGGCAAGTTTTCCTCGCATGCAGCCATCATCACATGGACCCATGCACTCACCTATTGGAGGAATGTCACAGAACTTCTCTCAATCTAATGATGATATTTTGCCATCCCAGCAGTTACACCTGCTTAACAAAGGTCATTCTCACCAGCATCCCTCTCATCCTTCAGACTCATTTGCCTCTCTACCCATGGGGGACGGCCCAGATCTAAGTGAAGTCATACGCCCCACTCATACAGGGATCCCAGAGTTTGATCTATCCCGCATCATTCCTTCTGATAAACCAAGTAGCACTCTTCAGTATTTCCCCAAGAGTGAGCCACATCAGGGGCCACCATCCCAGCAACCTACTCCACAGCAGCTCCTTAAACAGCTTTCTTCTGGCCCTCCACACAGCAGCGGGCCTTCGTCCAACCCCCATTTGGCAAACCTACAGAATATGATGGCCGAACAGCAGCTGCCCCCTCACCCCTCACATGGCGGAATACGCCAAAACATGGGTATTCCTCAAGGGGTGCCTAGGGGTATGGTTTCTGGTGGGGGTATGGGCCCCATGTGCCCCCCTGGACATATGATGGGAAGGACAGGCATGATGCCTCAGCAGCAGTTCCAGCAACAGCAAGCCATGATGGCCAACAGCCTTCTCCACCATACTTCCAGTCCATATCCCGGCATAATGTCCTCCCAGCAGCACCCACACAGTCTGATGGCACAGCAAAACATTATGATGATGCAGGCAAAACAGCGAAGTATGTCAATTCCAGGGGATCCCTTTGGCCCCCAGGGTCCTCTAATGTCCCCCCAGGGTCCCATGATGGGCCCTCCCCATCCACAGTCTGGTATGATGGGCCCTCAGTCTCTCAGACAGCGGGGAATGTCTCTGGACAGTCCCATTGGCTATGGCCCCGGAGGTATGGCCAATATGCCGTTTTGATCCATCTCACATAAACTGTTTAAAAAAAAAAAAAAAAAAAGTCTGTGACCTTCCCACCATTGTGTCCAAATGTTTTCATTAATGTTATTATTGCAGTTGTTTGAAGAGAGGAATTGTAAAAACAGTATATCGGTGATAATCTTCAAATTTTGGATTACAGCTGATTTAAAAAGTGAATATTTAAAAGCAGTATAAAACGGTTCAGTAACAAATCTGAAGCCATTTTCTTAAATACTGTAAAATATGTATAGTTCAAAGATGTGTGTATTTGTTGTGGGAACAGCGCGGTGGTCAGGAGAGGAGTGCCTCAAATTAAATTTTTTTTTTTTATATCATTGATTTATTTTCTGCAACCACCAAACATATATATACTTGCTGTATATAAGATGCAATTAGTGATTGTTTGCAGTTGTTCTGTATAACTGTTTTAATAGAAGTCTAAAAATAGAACAATACTGATCTCTGAGGTGGTTTTGGTTATTGTGTTGTCAATTATAGTTGTTTGATAACACTGACAATGGGACATTGTTGTTGTATAATATCTGAAGTCTTTATTAGTTATAGCTAAAATACAAGCAAAAACAAATTTCAGCCAAGAATAACATTTTTCTTTTGACTGGGTAAATAAAAGTTCTTTTAAATGCAATCAAAGAAGCAATGGGTAATATATTATGAAAACAAAATGATAAAATTGTAACATTTTTCATCACTTCATGTGAAACTGTAGAGCAGAACATAAAAACTTCAGTTACAGCTGACATGATACACTGTAAGAATTTTGCTATGTGAAGATGGCACTGGTACTTGTTGCTCCATCAGAAATAGATGGTCGACTGTGTCCCTGAGGTCGCATGAAAGGCAGACAAATACGGCTGCAGCCCAGCTGACAAAGTAACTGTATTAACTCATTACGAAACCTCACCCCAACAAACGCATACAGGAAAGGGTTCAGGCAAGTGTGTGTGAAGCCCAGGCCCTGCGTCACTTCAAGGGCTGCTTCGAGTAGGACAACATCTTCACACGTTTCATTTTGGAGCACCTGCAGGTCTACCATAGATTTTATCACTGAGGTGATGTTGTACGGTAGCCAACAGATGCAGAAGACGAGAGTGACAAGTAAAGCCAGTCGAATGGCCATTTGCTTTGCTTGACTTTTCTGACTGTTGCACAGAGTAATTACCACTGCTGTGTAGCAGTAGCTCATGACAGCCAGCGGTAAGAAAAAGCACACATGATCTAAGACTCTGGTGGTCAAAACCCAGTTGTGTGCATCGATACCATAATTATGATAGTTGCAGGAGAGCCTAGATTCATCCTTTGTCACATTCACACTAAGAAACACAGCATTGGGAATTGATAAGCCCAAACAGACCAGCCATAGTACAATGCAGGTTAAGTGCACTGTTCTTGGCCGTCGTCTTTGCATACTAGGAATAGCATGAACAATCGCCAAATATCGATCAAACCCGATGCAGCCTAGGAGTAAACTCCCACAGCAGATGTTAAGATTCTTCATCAGGCCCACCACCTTGCAGAGAAATCCCCCAAACACCCAGCCAGTGACATTTTCAACCACATAAAAAGGAAATGTAGAAAGGAGCATGAGGTCAGCCAGGGCAAGGTGCAGTAGGTAGATCTCAGTAATGCGCAGGATGTGCCAATGTTTCAGGAGGACTGCTATCATCAGGCTGTTCGCTGCCAAACCCAGAAGAAAGATCAAGCTGTAAAGCACGGGCTTGAAGACGGCTTGAAACGTCTGCAGGCCCATTGCCTCTTGGACGGAGGTATAGTTGCAGGGGCCTGAATTGCCGAAATCAATGCCATAATCGTAGTCTGTCGTATTCTCATAGCTTTCAGGCTCCGTTATCTGCAACAGAGAACGGGGTAGTGGGGGCTGGTTAGGTGGAGACGTTAGTTTGAATGACCTCATCACAGTTTAAAAATCACTGTGTGCTGTGGAATAATAGTTGTACATGTGACTGATTCTGGCTAAATTCCAATAGCTGTCTTTGAAATGAAAAGTGAATCTCTGCATAAACCCAAATAACTTCACAATTTTCTTTGTTCCCTCTAGTTTTCTCGGTCAATTTGTTAGGTCAGATTTATTTTCACTTCCTGTTACTAGGAGATGTTTTGGGGCAAATATGGCAAAACATATACTTTGGCTGTATACTAATGAAGGAGCAGTAATAAACATTTTTAACAGTCAAGTTATATCTTGTGGAGAAATTACAGCCATTAAAATTAGAATGATCACTTTAAATGTGGGAGGCTCATACACACAAGTTTTTTTTGTTTTTTTTTACTGAAGGACTATAAAATTACCATTTTTCCATGTTTATTAAAGGTGTTTAGGCAGTGAGACAGGTTAAACAAAAATAAAACCATATGTGTCCATATTATAAATCAGTAATGATAAATTAATTGCAAGCTATTCAAAGCAGAAAAATGAATATACCAGCTACTCTCCTTTCCAGACAGACTTATAGGATGCGTTAGAGTGACTTTCTTGCTTTATATAGAACTCCCTGGTGGTTCAACAGGAAAGAAGCTTGGTAGACTCAATGTAACATCTGTTTGGGTGCTTTTTCTACAGTTCAGCGATTTGTCTGTAGTTTGTAACTTAGGTCCTCAACTTTGTATCAGTTTTAAAAATCTGTACTTTAATCTTAATCATAGAAAGCTGCTACATGTTGTTCATCACCATACAACAGCTTGCTTTAAAAGTCCACGTTTTGCCCCCGAGATCTAGAAAATGAATTATATAAATCTGTCTTGAATAGTAAATTGTAACAGCAGGAAGGTGTCCACAAACACTTAAAAGACATTTGACTACAGACTAAATCACAGTAAGAATTAACCTGTTGCTGACTATAGCATTCTTTTATAGTTATATACCTGAAAATACACTTGTTACATTTAGAATATCTAAAGTTAAATTTAGTACAGAATGTTAATCACAATATATGCTAGTATAATATAAAACTACAAAATTTATAGCAATTTTCTATTCATAATTCTTAATTATGTCTTACCAATATAACTGTCCTTGCTTTTATCCAATCCATCTCTGCAAATCTTGGTCAGTTTGAAGTTTATCTCGCGCTGCCGCAATGAAGTGTGATTTTACTTCCTCCTGGTGCTGGTTCTTCTGTGTTTGATTTATTGATTTTTGGGGGGTGTGTTTGGTAGAAACAAGTCAAACAGAAAAAAAGCTTTACACCAGTTTTTTTTTTTTTTTAAATAGTAAGCATACCAGAGGGTTGGGTAACACAAGCCCATGTAACTGCACCCAGTATGTTATAGCTTTTGACAAACAAGAGACAGTTTTGTGTAACTAGTCAAATGTATATAGACATTTCTGGCTACAATCACACAATGTTACAAATTTGATCAAGCCACCCTCTAGCAATAAGAATATGATCGCGTGAGATCATAAACTTCTTCCATCACCATCCAGTTTCATCACTGGCATCAGTTCTGTATTTTGACAGAAATATTTATGACAAAAACAGGAAGAAAAGATTTCCATGACACTTGGGGAAACTGGATAGATGACGGGGTCTAATCTGCAACGTTAGCAAGTTGGTTTTCTGGATAAATATGATGGGGGTGCTCAAACAAAACCTTTAACTCCAACTGCCCCAGACCAGTAGCTGTTTTTTTTATGGGGACAGTTGTATTATTGTTATTTTTATGTTGGCCATCTAAGCATGGCTAGAGTATGGAGCAGCTGAGCGGAGGTTACACATGTATAATAAAATCAACATTTAGGAAAATAAAATGCAACAGTAATAATAATAATAATGTGCATGGCAGGGACAGAAACAACTTTTGCAGCAATACAAATATAGTCTTATTTTCATCAGTTTGATTTTGCCACTAAAATGATGTCAGGGGAAATGAAAACAATTTTTAATGTAGCCAACTCATTAAGAAAAGTAAAAATCTTTTTTGTTGTTTATTTATACTTTAAAACAACTGATTATAGGATTTATGCATTTAGCTGGGATCAAATCACATTTTTGCTTCATTGTGTTTATTCAGTTATATGGGATAGTACACATTAATCAACACTAATGTTAGCAATGTCAGTGTAAATGTGTCAGTAAGTTCAACAAAATGGCTCAAAGAAGAAGGTTCTATTCCAGGTTTCCACTTTGTATAATAAATACTATACAGGATATATCTGCAGTTATACAACAACAGTGGTAATGGTTGAGTTTGTTACACTGCATCTTAAGTGTTTGTTAATTCAATGCCTGTAATATAAAAGCTCCAGTTTGGGTTCAACTTATAAGGAAGTAATAGCTCAAGTTTGAGATGATCACCGGATATGGATACTGTACATCTTCATAGCATGTAATGGTAGCTTCTTTTTCTTGTTCCTTTTTTTTAGAAAAATACATGCAGACAGTTACTGATTTTGAGGTGCAAAGAAGATGCAGTCAACCGTGTGCCTGACATAAACCCCTTTGAATTTTGCAGCCACTTCCTGTTTCATAGCTGCATGAATTTACAAAGTAGCATCTACATACATTTGTGTTGGACATTCAGACTAAGTTAAAGATGGTTTACTTTACAGGCTCAGATAAACAACTGTTTAATCTCCTAAGCAGATCCTCTGACTACAGTTATTCAAATAAGAAAATTTACCCAGCAGTGTTTCAGTTGAAACATTTAAAGTAGAAGGTTTAGGCAATAAAATTTAATTATTTAAAAAAAAAAAATCAAAAGCATTCTTCTAGTCTAAAAGCAGTGCCCCAACATTCTACAATATTAGTTTGGTGAGTAAGAATCATGTCCTGAAACCAAAACGTAAAGGATGAAAAATCTTATAAACTATTACCCATCTCTCAGCAAACTTAGAAATAACAGGAGGGATGCTTATATGCCAATAATTTGCAGCATCAGTAGGATCCCCTAAATGTAATATAGGAGCCATAATAACATACTTCCATTCATTAGGAAATATTTACAAGTTGAATGATGAATCTGTTAACGGTTTCATCTCCAGCAAAGTGTTGAATTTGAAATATTCCAAAGAAACTAATTAAACGTTTAGGCAATACAGTTTTATAATGACCAATGACAAATTGGTACAGACAGAGCTCTCACAAATACTGTATACAGACCATGAACATCCTTGGCTTAGCTCTGTAGCTTTTGCAGTGAATGCAAGAAAAGTGTGTTTGTTTAGTTAAGAAATGCAGAAAATGGAACCTGATTTTAAATGGACTGTTTGCTTCTCTATGTGGGTGGGACTTCCGCTATTGTCAAAATAACAACTTTTCATAATTTACTTCTTTGATGGCATCTAGACAAATAAAGCCTAAACCAAAGGGAACACCGAAGGAGGAGACAAGTTGACTTTGCACAGGACTGGCCAAAGGGACTAGCTGCTGCTTTTGAACAGAGGCAGACTATCAATGTTAAGGGAAATGTCAATGCTATCCAGTTGTTTTATTAATGTGTCGGGGTACATTTTTAGGTGTTTTAATAGCTGGTCTTTGACATTAAAGTAGATGTACTTCATCTCTGACCTTTCCTCAAAGTCAACCCTTCTGCAGGCTTCAAGCAGAGTATTTGCTGTCTTTGGTAGCTCTGGGTGGCCGTGCTCCCTCAAAATTTTTAAAACAGCATCAACTGCATTGTGTTTGACATGACACTCGTTTGCCCACCAAGCAAGACTATATCTCAGTTCTGAGCTCGTTTCCTTGTTACAGTTGCTGCTCTTCTGTATTACTACATCAAGTTCAACATCATCAGCCAGAGGCTGTTCTTGCACAGTGCCTCCATCACCACTGAGTGTGTGCATTTGTTCAGGGGAGAACCTTACTTGACTTGGGTCCAAAGTCCCAGCTGTAATTGTGTCATGACCTACTGTGTGCGTGAACAGAGTCAATGTTGTCTTTTCTCAGATGTCACTGCTGGATGGCATGACAGTTCATGCAAAGAGCAGGTTGCCACTGCTACATGCCTTGAACTGTTTTCTTGCAATCTTTTAGCCCTTTTCCAAATGGCATTGTATGAATTGTTCAACATTGAATTTTACACTATTTTACAGTAGCACATTATCACCATTGCAATGCAGATCAAACAACACCATCAAGTTGTAATTAAACATATGCTAAAATGCTATAGCAAGAGCCACAAAGAGAATCTCAAAGCCAAGAAACAAGTAAACTGAACTTTCCAATTTCAAGTCAAATTATTCTCAAAAAGACCCTACCAAGATAGAATCCATGACTCACTGCGGCCCCCCCTAAAAGACAGAAAGAGGAAACAAAACCATTAGTAGGTGATAAAGACATTAAATAGTTACCCTGATGTAATTTTAAGATAAAATGTAAGTTCACCATTGGAGTGAAGACATACATAATAAGCCAACATCAACAGTAGATGGGAAAATGCAATAAACCAAGTAGTGAGTAGATATTGCTACAGATTAGGGCTACAGTGTTCGTTTTTAGATTGTGATCTAGACCCCTGTCCAGTCTATTTTGTATGATTTATTTTCATGTTTGTATCCGTGGGGAGACCCACAATCAAGCACTCTATCCCCTGTGACCGCGGCGCATGCACAACCCTTGTTCCACTTCTTAGAAGGTTTTTTAATACTCAAAAATTCTCCATGACCACTTTAGCACCCAGAATGATGTTTTTTAATACAACAAACAGCACAAAATACATTTACATGATGTAAGAGGTTAACCCAGACGGTGCCGGTTGTGTTGAGACCTGTTCCCCATCCAGATGTTTCTCCTAACGTTATCCAAACAAATAACCATACAGATGCCCGGGGCGCTACTAAAACACAGTTTTAACAAGGGAAAACACAACTGGGCAGGGGAACAATTTTCAACACAAGACCGGACTGGTTTAACATTATAACACAACAACCACGGAGAGGCCAACATTAGCACATAGCTTGTTTTCAGTCGACATGATTTAATTCCTCCATGGCAGCAAAACAAGTAACACTAGCCTGCAGGAACTCTAGTTGGCTAAACTAACAATTTGGACCGACTGCCTTCCACAAACAAACAATGCTATTAGCTGACTTCGCTGCTAACGAACTAGCAGCAGCATAATGCTATATTTGAAATCCGGTATCACAGCCGCAATGACGAAGGAAAAACATAAACATTAGGGAAAAACATTAAGGCACTGTCAGTTGTAGTGTTATTTAAGAAACATGATTCATTATAATACGTTATCTTCCAAACGCTTGTGACATTAAAGTTATAGCACAAAGGGAGTCCTTGAGCATGAGCGATAGTAAATTTGACAAACGCCCTGAGGTCAATTACAAATGCAACCGATCTTTAGCGATCATTGCCAAGTTGCTGTACCCTGATTTGTTTTAGCTTATGTACTTGCATTGTACGTTTAAGGCAAAGATCGTGTTTCTAAGAACAAAAACATAAAATGATACTTTCCTACCGTATTTGACACCACTGCAATCTCCAGAGTCTTCTGAGAAATGGAAGAGATGTGTCATGTAAGTAGTAGTTTTTTTTTTTTTATTTGATTTACTGTGTGATTTGGCTTTGGTGAAAACGTCTGCTATGATGTCAGATTCCTCTTCAACTCCTCTACCTTCTGTAGCTTCTGCTCTGCATTCACGTTTTTCAGCTTGTCCTGATGTTTTGTCTCGTAGTGCTGTCTTAGGTTATATTCCTTAATTACAGCCACATTAGCTCCACAAATAAGACACACGGGTTTATATCAGTAAACATATACTCAGCCTCCCACTGGTTTAGAAAGGCTCCGTTTTCAGAATCAACTTTTCTTTTGGCCATTGTTAGGGGCTAGCTTTGACTTGAAATTAGGGTTGTATACAGTGGTGTGAAAAAGTGTTTGCCCCCTTACTGATTTGATTTGATTTATTTATTCTTTCAAGCATGTAAAGACAGTTGATATATCAACACACATCATTTTACACATATCCAACAAATGCTAATCCAATATCAATTTGCTTATACCTAGTACCTGTTTGAATGGACTTATCCAGTCCTACCCCATGACATCATCTTACCATCATTGGTTTGCAAGCAGTAAATAATTCTCTTCTACACCACACAAGTAATATATTAAAGAATTATTACAAAGTATTAACATTCATACACCACACCCACAATGTTCCATCTAATTAATCATTAAGCCTGTTCTTGCATATATCTTGATTGACACATACCTTTATATTTATGTTTAAACTCGTCAATTCTATTACTATTTTTTATGTCTACACTTAAATTATTCCATAGTTTTACCCACTTATAGAAATACAAAATCTTTTTTTGGTTGTACGTATAGCATGAATTTTTA